AATGAACAGGCTTCTCAGCGGAATTTACCACAGTAATTGGAGATTTTACCCAAAAGTGAGAGCTGGGTCACTCAATGCTTGTGTTGTTGCCCTACTATTTAAAGGGGGTATAAATGCAAAAAAATAGGAGAAGCCTCCAAGACACGACACACACATCAAGAAACATTCCCCTTGTTCATTTTTGAAGGAATCCATCCTCACTCTAAGAAACCCTCTCCAAAACCGTTAGAGAAAGTCAAGAGAAAAAGAAGACTCTTCAGTGGCATTTGGGAGCTGATCTTCAGCTCCTTCTCTTCATTTTCTCATCTTTGTATTATTTTCATTCCTACATTTTATTTGACTCTCCTTATGGCTTTGCATAGCTAACTAACTTGTGTAAGGGGGAGATGTTCTAGACTTATTTTCTGGGTTGTAACCTTGCTGTTTGCTTTAATGAAAGTTTGCTTTGAGTTGAAGTTGTTTTATCACTCTATTTTCAATATGCTTGATCACCATTTTGGAATACCTTTTGATAATGTTTGGAAAAATGTATTAAGGAGCGAAACCCTTCATCTTGGGCTAGAGTCTACTTAGAGTTTAGCGCGTGGTGAGTTAGGGATAAGCATCACCTAGCTTAGTCATAAAAACGGTGTATATATGCTATTGATGTTTGTTTATAAATGTTAGTAATAGAAAATCCGAGGTGTTTGGAAGAACACCTTGTCTGTTTGACCACTAAAATACTCCATTAACGCTACAACATAGTTAGAGTGGCCCAAAATAGTCGACTTCCTGTCCCCTTTACGCCCTTATTTTTATACGATGTTATTAGGTGATTGTGGATGCGTGGTACACTAACGGATTTAACCTTGTGTTTCATTTAAAATAATCGCTTAAAATAGTTTTTACCTCAGTATATTTTAGTTATTAGTGAAAGAAGAACTCCTTGGCTTATTGCATTGTTTCCTTGAGTAAATATTGAGTGTTTAAGCATTTAGTCTCTCTGGATTCGATCTTTTATTACTTGCTGTGATGATTGTGTACTCTCGCACATATAAGAATTGGTAGCAAAATTAGTGGACAACAGTTATCGATAACGATAGATAAGGGTAGTGTAGACCATCGGAGAAGGCGATGGCTGATGGTGGTCGAATGGCAGCCATGCAATGGTGGCCGTCTGTGATGGATGGTGACGAGCGATGGCCGTGCATGGCCGAATAAATAGAGGGTGAAGACAGCGGTGGCTAGGGCTACTTTCTTCCCGTGGGTAGGAGATGGCGATTCGGGTCAGCTTTTATGTTATACATAGATAAAAACCCAGCCCAAAACCCATATGCCAAGACCTTCACCTTTAAAAAGAAATGGACCTCACAAACCATATTAAAATTTAGCCCAATTACTCCATTATTTTTTGGGCCCCATTCTTTTTGAGTATTTTCTTCATTCACGTGGGTCACGTGATTAAGGTTTCTTTTACCTTATTTCTTTTACGACCTGACCTGTGACTTGACCCCTTGAACAGTTTCTACCCTCGTTTAGCTTCCATCAATCCCTCCACCACGCTCCTTCTCCGACCACATCTACATTCTTCAACGGTAGTGGTCTCCGTCATTCTTTTGTCTCGCTTTTTTATTCCATTTTCTTCATGGTTATTCACCTCGTAATGAACGTGTCGTCCGCTGAAGCGACTTCTCCCTTGATGCCCCTTTCTCCTTATTCACCTTCTTCTAGCTTTCACCTTCTACCACAGAGTCGGCAGCGACCATCGATCTTTCCACATTACTCTAGCATTCTCCTTGTCTTACGTCTTCCCAGTCTTCTAGCGCCATATCATTGAATTTCGGCGGTCTTCTCTTATTCGTAACACTACAACAAATTTGACTTTTGATGATGAGAGTTGCCCGTCATAAAAAGGTAATGATGATGGCCAAGTGATCGTCATCTATGCGACTGTCCTTGTTTCTTTTTCAATGACGGATAGTTTTAATGATGAGCAACGACCGTCATGTAAAGTCTTTTTTCCATAACGGGCATGCCCATCATGAAAGGGTAACAATGACAGGCAATGACCGACATCTTTACAAGTGTCCTTGTTTTGTTTAACCTTTTATGGTGGTTTTTGCCCGTGTATGCGCGTCATTGTTTGTGCATCATTGTATGTGCATCATTGTTTGTGCGTCATCGTTTTTATGTCATTGTTTGTGCATCATCGTTTCTACATTATCGTTTGTATGTCATTGTTTGTGCGTCATTCTATCTACGTCTCGTATGTGCGTCGTTGAATGACTATATTTCATGACGGGCATTGATCGTCATTACTTCGTGAATAATTTAATTAAAATAATAGTCGGTTGCCGAGACGTGACTAACCAACTATATTTCCTTCAAACCTATGATAATATCTCAATATTGCAATCAAAATAAGCTAATTAGTCTCTTTGCGTACTTTTCTTTCGGTACAACATGAGGGAGTAGGACATTCGAACTCATGATTGTTTAGTGAGACATAGGTGTCTTAATTCATTGAGTTATACTCAGCTTGAAAGTTTCTTTGCTTACTTAATGAAGAGAAATTTTGTCCTTTAATTAATAATGTTTTGGGTAAACTACTTTATATTTGGGTTAAAAAAAAATCATCGCGTTTGGTCTCTAGATTTAAAAATTGTACACTTGGAGGAAATATTTTATTTTATTCATTCGACACGAATCTTATATTAGCTAATAAAAATATAATGTGGCATATTTTATAATTAAAATAGCCAATACGACATTTGAAAAAAAAAAGAATAAAAATCTCTCTCTCCCCCATCCATTTTATACTACATATGAATTCTTAAAATCTAAGCTTTCGTAAATTTTTCCAAAGCAAGCATAGCTCAACAGCAATTGGCATATATCTCCAAGAAAGAGGTTGTGAGATCAAACCTCCACTCCTACATGTTGTACTAAAAAAAATAAACTTGAATACCTTTATTGTGTTTGTCGTTTAGGTGTTGTGCCTTGATCTCCGGCTGTGCAATCTTCCGTTGTTTTTTTCCTTATATTTACCTTTGGAAAAAAAAAAAGCTTAAATTACAAGCTATATTTTTTTCTCCAGCAATAACGATTTGTTTTCAAAAAGTAACACTCTCGTGAGTCAATCTTCGTGTGGTCCAATTTGCTATTCGGGATCCCAAGACTTCTTCCGTCTTCAATTTGCTAGATTCTCTCCCTCTCAAAACTCCTCGCATCGCCTAGGTTAAAATCAGAATCTAAAAACAGAATTTGTTCACAACATCTAGGTACCCAACTTAAGCGCTTGGAAAAACTCTGCTTGAACTTCATTATATTTTCCTTTAAGTTTTGCAATGCCTACACGCCACCTGCAGGCACCCAAATGCCCAACATTATGTTTTCCACTTCAAGTACGCCTACACGCCACCTGCAGGCACCTAAATGCCCAACATTATGTTTTCCACTTCAAGTTCGTAGCATCTTGGTGCCACTTATAGGCAATCTCCCTCTCATTAGGTTAGTCATATTTACGCAAAATCCTCCTCTTGTTCCCTTCCCTTTGTTTGTTGCAGATGGTCTGATACATCTCTACCGTAATCCAAAAAATAGTACTTATTAGATACAAAATAAAACTTATAGATTAACCTTGTTTTATAATGAAATCCAAACATACCCAATACAAATTTAAAATTATAAAAATGATTAAAATTAGTTAGATGTCTAGTTTAGATCTCTCTCTCTCAAGATTGACATCAAAAAACAACTTTTTCTTTTGATGTACTGTCGTCCCCTTGCCTTTTTCTTGGGCAGTCATTCCTGTCCAGGGAGCGGAGCCCATCCCTTTTCCACCCATGATTGCACAAAAACACACCACAGCCTTTGTCTTCTTAATTTACTTTAATTTCCTTTATATAACTCGACAGACCACGTGTCCATCACTTACTTAATATATGCATTTTTCTTCTTCTTCTTCTTCCTCATCATCTTAATCCTTACAACATATCGCCAAAAATACGCCTTATTTAATACACTGTCTCAAAATGGGTGGTTATTGTATCCAAATCCCAACAGATTCTAGAACCACACAAGGTTATAGGTTACACATACAGACAAAACAAATCCCAAAAAAACAAATCATGATTAATTAACTTCTATCAATTAATAAAACAAAAAAAAAAGAAAAAAAAAGAAAGAAAAGATCAATTTGGGATTTTCACACATCTCACCCCATTTGCTTTTCCACTTATTTGTTTTACTTGTAATT